TGGGAATTCCTTGGGAATTCCAGGATTTTCCGGGAATCCCGGCATTCCTGACCCCCCCTCTCCCCTCCCCGCAGTCCCGGGGGTCCTGGGGGGCTGCGTGGAGGTGGCCTCGGGCACCGAGGCCGTGCTGGGCTCGCCCTTTCGGCTCCTGTGCATCGCCTGCAAGCGCCGCAGCGAGACCCCGGCCGAGGCCGAGAGCGAGTGGTTCTTCCGGGCTGAGGGGGCAGCCCAGTTCCACAAGGTGACTGGGAGCACTGGGAGGCACTGGGAGGGACTGGGAGGGGATTGGGAGGGACTGGGAGGGACTGGGAGGGAAATGGGATGGACTGGGATGGACTGGGAGGGGATTGGGATGGACTGGGAGGGACTGGGAGGGAACTGGGAGGGATTGGGATGGACTGGGAGGGATTGGGAGGGACTGGGAGGGACTGGGATGGATTGGGAGGGAAATGGGAAGGACTGGGATGAACTGGGAAGGACTGGGAGGGACTGGGACGGACTGGGAGGGAACTGGGATGGACTGGGAGGGGATTGGGAGGCACTGGGAGGGGATTGGGGGGGACTGGAGGGGACTGGGAGCACTGGGAGGCACTGGGAGGGGATTGGAATGGACTGGGAGGGGATTGGAGGGGAGTGAAAGGGAACTGGGAGGGGATTGGGAGGGAAATGGGAAGGACTGGGATGAACTGGGAAGGACTGGGATGGACTGGGAGGGGATTGGGGGGGATTGGAGGGGACTGGGAGCACTGGGATGGACTGGGAGGCACTGGGAGGGGATTGGGATGGACTGGGAGGGACTGGGAGGGAAATGGGATGGAAATGGGAAGGACTGGGATGAACTGGGAGGGCCTGGGATGGACTGGGAGGGGATTGGGATGGACTGGGAGGGACTGGAGGGGAGTAAAAGGGAGTTTGGAGGGGTTGAAGGGGAACTGGGAGGGACTGGGATGGACTGGGAGGGAACTGGGATGAACTGGGACAAACTGGGATGAACTGGGAGGGACTGGGATGAACTGGGAAGGGATTGGGAGGGACTGGGAGGGACTGGGATGAACTGGGAGGGACTGGGATGAACTGGGAAGGGAACTGGGATGGACTGGGAGGGAACTGGGATGGACTGGGAGGGAACTGGGATGAACTGGGAGGGACTGGGATGAACTGGGAAGGGATTGGGAGGGACTGGGAGGGAACTGGGATGGACTGGGAGGGAACTGGGATGGACTGGGAGATACTGCTGTGGCTTTATATCGGTTGATGCTGTTCCGTACTGGTTTATACTGGTTCATACTGGTTTTCCCAGCTCAGATCTTGCACAACAGCCCCGAGGAGGGCGAGTGGCCCAATAACCAGTACTGGTCCATACGGGTTTATACTGGTTTATAGTGGTTTACACTGGTTTATATTGATTTATACGGGTCTGTATTGGTTTATACTGGTCTATACTGGTTCATACTGGTTTTCCCTGACTCAGATCCTTCACTACAGCCCCGAGGAGGGCGAGTGGCCCAATAACCAGTACTGGTCCATACTGGTTTATACTGGTTTATACTGGTTTATACTGGTTTATACTGGTTTATACTGGTTTATACTGGTTTATACTGGTTTATACTGGTTTATAGTGGTTTACACTGGTTTATATTGATTTATACGGGTCTGTATTGGTTTATACTGGTCTATACTGGTTCATACTGGTTTTCCCCGTCTCAGATCCTTCACTACAGCCCCGAGGAGGGCGAGTGGCCCAATAACCAGTACTGGTCCATACTGGTTTATACTGGTTTATAGTGGTTTACACTGGTTTATATTGATTTATACGGGTCTATACTGGTCTATACTGGTCTATACTGGTTCGTACTGGTTTTTCCCGTCTCAGATCCTTCACTACAGCCCCGAGGAGGGCGAGTGGGTGGCTCCTGGCCCCTTCCAGGGGCTGCTGGCCTGGAACGGCTCGCGGGGCACGCGGGACCTGCAGGATTTGTCGCTGTGGCTGCGCTCGGTGCAGCGCGAACACGCCGGCGCCTACGTGTGCGGCCTGCGCCGCAACCTGACCTTCGAGGGCTACACCTACAGCCTGGCCAGGAACCAGAGCCTGCGGCTGGCCGTGGTGGAGAAAGGTACTGGGATATACTGG